AGAAAACAACTTCTCAACAGATACCCAAAGCTTAAACATAATAGAAATTTTATTCAGTGCTTTTTTTCTTTTCAGATTAAATCACAGAATAAAAATGGCTCATAATCAATTAGCATCTAAACTATAACATTGTTCTTTAGACTGGATAATTGTGTGTGTTGCATCAAGTATTGTGTATGGATTATTATGTATAAGTGTTATTTGCGGACTTATCATTATTGTTATAACTGATTTAGTGTCGTGGTGGAATCAGCTGGTTTGCGTTAATACTTCAGTTTATGAAAGAAATATTGTTTTTAGTCCTTTCTAAAGTATTCTTGTATTTAATAATTCAGTAGTGAGTCTGAGCCATGTTTCAAAGGGGGAAGGGAAAAGAAACGTCTTTATTTGGCATGTATATTCAATATTGTACTCTGGGGATGGAATATCCAAAAATAAGACTATAAATAAAAAATCAGTGGCCTTTTCTGTCTTGCTGCATTACGTGGGCTTGATGTATGTTTCTGCAGCATTATTACTCACTCTGCTCAAGTCAATGCTCTGAGCTTTCCTCTCAGTGATTGATTTCTTCAGGTTAACTTAACCAATATGTGGTTTAATAAATACTGCTATTGCCTTATTAACCAACATGCAGAAAGTCCACAGAATTATGTAAAACTGATACTCTGAGATATGCATATTGCTTCAGTTGGAAGGCTTTTTCTGGGTATAGCTTAATCTGATGGATGGCACAAAAAAGGCATGGGCCTTCTGTAGTTAAGATGTGAAATTAAAATTGCTTTCAAGAAACATAAATAGGAAGAAGAACTTACCATAATCACAACTAATCTTATTAGGTATGATGGTAACAGGGAGATGGCTTCCTGTAGTGTTTCTCTTCCATAATACCTCTGATATATCAAAAAGAAGTTTTCCCAGTGCTTTTCTACTCTTATTGCCTATGCTCTTCTAGATTGTGTCATAGCCCTTATTTGCAGAGACTGTGTGTAAAATAAATCCAAATGTATGGCTTGTTTTTATTAATGGAATTAAAGCCAATGAAGATTTGCATGCAAATAGTTCAGACACTATCCCAGGAGTTAGGACTTATATATGCTCTGATGGTATCTTTATAATGTCCAAAGACCTTTTTGGTACTATCATTATTTTAGAGCAGGGGTGGGCAATTATTTTGGGCAGAGGGCCACTTACTGAGTTTCAGCAAGCCATCGAGGGCCACATAACAGGCATCCAGGGGCAGATGTATATTAATTTTCTAACATTTTTAGGGGCCTCGCGGGCCAAATAGAATGGCCTGGCAGGCCACATCTGACCCGTGGGCTGCATTTTGCCCACCCCTGTTTTAGAGCCACTGTTGATGTTCTCCAACAGTGTACACACACTGTAATATAGTTAAAGCATAAGGCAAATGTGTTTTGAGAGAATATCCAGGATTAGCATGAGGAACGGTCGTTTAAAACCAGATGTTCAAAAGACCTTAGGGCTGGATTTCAAGTGCTCAGCAACCAGGAGTGGTATTATATTTCTGTAGGTTTCTGTAGTAGCCGGGAAATTTTCACTCATAAGCTGCTTTTCTTCCATACCAGCTTTAGGATGTGCCACAAAAATGCTTGGATCGCAAACTTGTCTATCTCAATATATGCTTTGAAAGAGATATTTTAATGACCTCCAAGCATTCATATGGCAAGACAGTGATGGCCTGTCCCAATAAGATGTTATAATAAATTGGAATAAAAAATAGCTGTGCTAAGGATCATTGCAATCATTGCATAGAACCCCAAGTCTTTTATAATATATGCCCATGTTTCTTGCAGTTGTTCCTTAGTTCTTCAATTTGCCTGCTGAAGTCCTGGAATAGCATTGCTTCCTCCTCTCCCACCATTTCTTCCTCAACATTATCATTTCCCTGCCTTTTGCAATATTTTTTATTTAAATCTTAATAGCTTTGCTATAGGTCTCTACTTGGATGTGGGTTTCAGACTGATGTAGTGTGTTCTATCTCTGTGCAAAAATCAGTCAGTGGGCAGGTCAAATACAATATTTTTATGGCCTTTTTAGAAATGTTGTTGCAAGTACATTTATCTTTTTTCTTTTTACCAGGAAGCCTCTGCTATTTATGTTATTTCATCTTCATCTGCTTTCTGAAGGACAGGGAGGCTGGGAGGAATATGATTTTCCCTTTTCATTTCCTGTGGTATTGTTTTCAATAGTAGTTAGCCCTGTTGTCTTATATTGTAGAATTAAAATGCAGCTTTCAGTCTCTGCAGCCAGATTTTGGAGGGTCTGTTTTATCATCTCAATGCTTTCTGACACTTCTGGAAGTATTGATCAGTATGATTCCTTTTATTCAACATTTTTATCAAGAGCATTCTCACCATTTCTGGTAGTCCTTTTTCCATCTTGGAGAATATCCCCACAGCATTTTTTTGCAGTATCAGGTGACAGATGGGATGAGTGAATTTTTCTTCTATATTTTTTGTCAATGTGTTTTTATAGTGCTAGTAAATAGAGATAGGCTGGACAGCCCTGGAGACTGAAATCCTCTCTTTAATCAAACAATAGTTACAGCACAGAAGCAGCAATATAGGTTTCCATGCTTGGATCCTTTATTGTGTCTAAGCCTGGAGCTGGAGAGGTTTCTTACAGGTGGAAAAAACATTGGTCTCTGAGGTCCATCCAGTCCATGGCTTCACATCTGAGATTGTCGAAAAAAGTTCCAGTGATAGTGGTGAGATGTGATATAGGCAACTGCCCACTGCAAATTGAGCTGTGACATCCATTTAATGGGTTTAAATTTTCACTAGGCTGGAGTGGCGAGGAGGTAGAGGAGCATGGTACACCCGGCAAACAGCCGGGCAGGCACCAGTGCTTCTAGGTGGGAGCAAGTTGGGTGAACTGGAGCAGGTGCCACTTGGCCCACAAGTGACATATCTTTGCTCCTGCACAGGAACAGCGGTGCCTGCCCAGCCACCTGCCTGGTGCACCATGCTGTTCCACCTCCCCACCAAACTCTGGCCTGGGCCTGGGACTTTTGACCAACCAGCTGGGACCAGGCTATGGAATCCTGGAGTGTCCTACCCAAACCAGATCACATGGCCAACCTACATTCATATCAAGTTGTCATATATTTGTTGTTTCATGCTCTGATTTTTCAGCTCAGTTTATTTTATTCATGTGACTCCTAGCTAAAGGCCTGTTCCAAACTCCGTTAAAGACTGTGAAAAGTTTGTCTTTGTCTTTAGCAGCATTAGAATCAAACTTGTGGGCTAGGGGCAGACATTCAGCCTGAGCCTGAATTGATTCAATCTTTGCAGGTTAGTCTAACCTGCCTAGGTTGAACTGATTTGCAAGTGCAGACATTCCCTCTGGACTGAGGAAATTCAGACACATGCCTGCAGTGGCTTAGGCTAGAAGCCAGGGGGTGCCAGAGCAGCCCTTCCCTTCTACAGTGCTGAGCTGAGGGGAGGGGAGGAGGGGCAGACCATGGCCAGACCCTGGCACAGGGGCAGGCAATTATTCTGGGCAGAGGGCTGCTTACTGAGTTTTGGCAAGCCATCAAGGGCCGCATGATAGGCAGCCCAGGGCAGATAAATATTAATTTTCTAAATTTTTTAGGGGCCCTGTGGGCCAGAGAAAATAGCCTGATGGACCGCATTTGGCTCCTGGTCTGCATTTTGCCCACCCCTGTGCCTGGCAGGATGTATTGATTAGGAAGGGGTTTAAACCCTGACCCTGCCTTCACAGTCCCAGGCTTTTCCCCACTCGCTGCTCTAGGTGCAGGAGTGTTGCCAGCCCCCAGCCCCTGGCTAGCACTCTGAGGCAAAGGGGTGGTGTGCAGTGCATGCATCTGTTGCTGATACTGAGCTTTTCAATCTCCCTCTCCCTGTTTCTTCATATTGTCTGCAAATGTGACAGGAGATGGAGCCAGCAGGGAGCTGATAACACAGTGTTTAGCAGCCCATCAAGAAAACAAAAGCCCCTATCCTAGTTCAAACTCTTCTTAAACAGCTTTTTCCAAGGAAGGAAAGGGGGGATATTACCAGCTGATCTGTTGATTAGCTCCGAAAAGCCCTAAGTGGACACTGTCTGCCTGTCCCAGTGAAATTGGAGACACACACACGGACACCGCTTAGCATTAGCTAGCCTACCACATGCCTAGGGTCTGTGGGGCTGGGGTCTGTGCTGTGGGAGATGGGAGGAGGGGATCCCTGCTTGAGCAGCAAGTGGCAAGGTAGGGAGTGGGGTGCAGAGGGAAGCCAGGCAGACCTTGCTGTTCCTGCAGTCTCTGCTGGAGCTCTGGCTAGGAAGCAGAGCGGCCAGCCCTGTTTTCTGGAGTAGACAACCTAGCACAGTCCAGCCCAGGGCTGCAAAGCATCTGGGATGCTGGGTCACTCTGGTTTAACTTAAACTAGGAAGGGATCTGGGGCAGACACTGCATAAATCGGTTTGACCCAAATCAGTTAACTCTGATACTACATTCAGCCAAATTTATCTTAAGCCATTTTCAGCCATTTTGAAACTGGTTTATGTGCACTGAACTTCTGTTCTGTTACAGGTTTAAACCCGTTTCTGATCACTTAAACCTATTTATGTGTAATGTCTTTCCCTAGCCTTAGAGTCTCACTGTTGTACCTGCCTACTGCAGGGGAAAAAAAGAAACCCTTCAAGTTTATTCCTGATTTTTTTTGTTTTGTTGCTCCATGTTTTAATAAAAGACAAAACAAAAATAAAAAATACTCTCATAATACCCCATTATATAAGCAAAAGATTGAACAGATTCTTTGTACATGGCTATAAATTGTAACCTTTTGTAGTGGGATGTTCTGTTAATAGAGTCTGATGGTTTTATTTTTTAGTTTCCTCCTTAAAATCTGTGCATTAGCAGCATTTTATTCAGCTTTCCCTGAAAAAGTACTCTAATGAAGTTATCTGGCCTTCTAAAAGAAATGCTGAGTATTAAACATGTTAGAAATTATTTGATCTCTTTTGATTTCTTTCAGCTAACGGGAGAGGTGACTTTGCAAATTGCCAATGAACCAGTTCTGCCCTTTAATGCCCTGGACATTGCATTAGAAGTTCAGAACAGCCTTAAAGGTAATTTTCATAGAGCAATAGTAATTTCAGCTAACATGAGGGGAGGAAAAAAGGTTCATCTACTTTCCAATATTGAGACTTCCAATTTCAGTATAAACAATACCTGCTGATTTTATTAGTTAAACGGTGTCATATTATGATGTTAAATGAAACATAATTTAGTTGCTTAATAGAGACATAAATTGTTTACATTCTTCTGATCTTAACTATGACAGTTAATAATTAGTATTAAAATCTCATAATTAGAGTCAAAGATAAACAACATCCGTCACTGAGCTGCAAGATTGTGTTTCCACTCAGGAATGCACTCAACACAAGTCGGAAGGGGCTCTAAACCTCATTACCATTTAGGCTCTGTAATTTTCACCATTTGATGAGAGACCATCTCGCTCATTTATTTATTGCACTAGTTCACGTTGGCAGCAGATCACTCCAACCTGCCGCTATTCTCAGAGCCACTAGGAAGCAGGATAATTTACTGCTAAATAATTTGCTTGAGTTGATTTACAGATCAGTTCCTGAAAGCTCTGTGTTTGAAACTGAATGACCTTGGTCTATGCATTCGGGCTGCTTACAGACATGAAAAAACAGAACAAAACAGTGCTTTGCTTTAAGCTTGGCACTCCTCGACACTAAGCTCAACACATGGCCAGAAGAGGCATCGCGTTAGTTTGACCCAGCTCACCAACACCTGTATAGATCAGGCACTTCAGTAGGTCTTTTTGGCACTTTTATCTGATAGCTGATTGAATGACTCTTGTTAACTTAGCAGTTTTGCTTAATAAGGTCTTCTGTGACTTTGTGTTGTACTTATTTGTGACTACTGTAACCTAATGATCCCCTTCATTTTGAAAACCTACA